TTAATTTGTTCTATTGAAGTTGTCTCATTTCCTTTGTATTTATACCTGGTTAATTTATGTAATATTTCTCGATCTACGTAATTTATTTCCTTCCTCACATACTAGAAGAGTAAAATAACGAAAAAACTACTTATCAATTCAATACAAGTCTACAAAAAACTAAGAGTTGAATTTTATCATATAGTATAAACATTAAATGAAAGGATACGATGGAGGGAGGATGTGTGTTAGCAATTCATTCAAAATTTGGGATGACAATCTATTTGAATTAGTGGATCTTCGAGAGAATAATATGTCTATTCAAATTTAAAATATTTTTTCATAATATTCACGGCCTTGCCAAAATTTGGTGCTAGGTCACATGCAGTGCGTAGCCACATGTGAAGCACATGAGGTCAATTAAACCCATCCACTTATTAGGAGTACAATAATTAAAAACATATTTAACTCTAGCTAATTTGAATTTGAGTCGAGTTTTCGATTATCATTCAATCACTTATTATTGGTGTCTACCTTCTAGACCAATTGATTATAATAATTGATAACCCTTGGACATTGAAAGGGAGATGTCATATCTTAATCGGTGTGGTCAACCTCTAGACTTAACAAACACTTTTATAATATTCCAAAGTCCAAACTATTGATTGTTAGCCTGTTACTATATTGTAATGTATAACCTCCATTTTCAACAAAAAGTGAATCTTCTTCCAATCACAAAAATTCACATTAAAATAAATCAACATTTGCGTACAATTTGAAGTGGCTAATTACGTAGCTCTTTTAATTAGTTGGCTGCTAATTTCATGGTTTATGTTTCTAAATGTTATAATACAATATAATGATGCAAAATCATTCGTGAACATCTTAAATTTGGTAAAATTTCAATTGGCCTACTCCATGTTTTTATATTATACCAGCATTATTTGTTATGTAGGCGCCGTTAATAAGTGGGCAATTAGGCCAATTACCCATATTGATCGCATCCAATGTGGACTGCATCAGTTATATTTTTATCCTTTTCTCTTCTAATTAGTAATTACATCATCTTCTAGTACTTAGCTGCTAGACATTCCTATCAATATTTGTATTCGAACAATGTTTGGTTAATTGATAGATCTAGTGAAAATCAGGAATAAAATGGCCGCAATTTTTTTATACTATGACTTGATCAATCAAAAGTAGAAGGGTTAATCTTGATTTAGACTGATAAAGTCGATTGTATATAATGAAACAAATATGTATAACTTTATACAAAGATATATATGTGTATATTATATACGAATATGAAAATTAAATTTTATATTAGTCGTTTGAAATATGAGTACCATTGTTTTAATGATTATGTAGTTTATAATTGACATATTTTTTTCAAGTAATTAATTATATTCCTTAATTTTTGGTTAAAATAGTATTATCAACATTTTTTTAGTTTATCAAATTTTTAGTATCATTTATGTAATTTTTATTCTTATTTTATAGTTTTTCGAAAAATAATTATTTTATGTTGGATTAAATTTTTGAAAAATTATCTTTGCACGGTAGCTTTTAGAAGACTAATTGTGTCCATTTTATAATATGAAAAAAAGGAACTGATCGTATTGTTTATCATTAAATTAATATAGTACTCATATTTCAAACGACCGCCGTAAAAACATCCATGATACGTGTTAGGAATTGTAGCTAATAACTTGTATGTCAAGAATGTCTGCTACCATATACCCCACATCCAACACCAATATCTTACTAACTTTTACTATATAAACCCACCAATGGTTTCAAGAAATTAACCAAATTAGTTACTTCATACAAATAATTAGAAAATTGTATCATATATATGGCTTCACTTTTCCATATAGTTGTGTTACTATTATTGTCCCTCACATATTCCTCAGCTGAAAATTCTCAACTAGGAGAATACTGCAACAAAAAAACCATCATAAGCAGTAGCAGCCAAGTATCAGCAAACATAGACCATTTGTTAGCTGATATAGTCACCAAATCCCTGCAGGGTGCCACCTTTGTCAAGGCCTCGTATGGCAATGGCAAGGACACAGTCTACGGCCTGGCTCAATGCCGAGGTGACGTAGACTCAAAGGACTGTATGGAGTGCATCCAAAATGCAGCCAAACAAGTCCGAAAACTCTGCCCTAACCAATCTGATGCCCGAATATGGTATGACTATTGCTTCTTAAGGCATAGCCAAAATAATTTTTTTGGTAATGTAGACTTATCATATGGCATATTATATAAAAACATAGCTAATGTCACAAATCCTGATGTTTTCAACCAAGAGTTGGGAAATATGTTCGATAGGATCGATTCAAAGGCGGTTAAACCTTCGAGTGGAGGGCTTGGGAAAGATCAGAAAAAAGTGACTGATTTCGAGACCCTATACGCCTTGGTTCAGTGCACAAGGGACTTGTCTCCTATGTCTTGTGCTCAATGTTTGGCTCAAGCCATTCGGAATTTCGAAGGTTACTGCAGTAATAGTAAGGGATGCAGAGTTTTGTATAGCAGTTGCTATGTTAGATATGAACTTTACCCCTTTTTCTTTCCTTTAGAAGGTCAGTTTCCAAATAACAAGGGTCATTCTCTAAAAAAATCTGTGATTATACATCATTAAGGTGCCCTAAAAGCCTAATAAGGCATAAAAAAGTTTGCCAAGTTATTTGAAAGTATTTAATTAAGGGTATACATAAGATGTGCTATGTTATAGCAAAAGTTGTAACTGTTGTAATATGTGCATGGATTATGCATGTGCTATTATTGTGCTTGCTCCTTTCTAATTAAATTAAAGTTTGATACAAGTACACTTTACATTTGTCAGCTGGAACAATGATGCAAAAGTACAAATGGTAAGATTCAATTTTATGCCTTACTTATCGAGTAAAATAGTTATTGAGAAAAAGAAATCTCACTTTTGATTGGGCTAAATACATTGTTTTAAATTGATAGATAATATACACATAACAACAACTTTTCTGTGTGACTGGTCACACCGTATGGCATGTGTTACTTATAGTGGTTACTTATTCTGTTATTTAGGGGTTATTTATATGGGTTACTTACTTAGAGGTTAATTGTATCCTTGTAGGGGCTATTTATTCAAGGGTTATTTGTAGGGGTTACTTGTAAGCTAAGGGTTACTTACTCAACCATGTTTTCTGTGTGAGAGTAACCTCTGACCGACCGAGTAACTCTTGAATAAGTAACCTCTGAATAAGAGATGATTCTAATGTAGTCTTATGACTTTTGACTATCATAATTTTTTAAAATGAATGGTTGAGATTATTTGTTTTTTGATTTATTTTTAATTAGTAATTTTAATTTAAAATTATTTTTAAAATTATTTTAAATATATTTTTATCTTCCAGAAATTATTTTTTAATATATTCGAAATTTTGGAAATTAAAAAAAATATATATAAAATAATTAAAAAATAATTTTTAATTAAAATTACGAATTTACTCCTGACCAAACGAGTAACCCCTGACCAAACGAGTAACCACTTACAAGTATCCCCTACCACACGGTGTGGCAAGCAACATATAAACGATATGTACACATAATTGCATTGTTTACTAACAACAAATTTAAAGATATTCTCTATTGTAAAGTACAAGTAGTGAGTAAAACTCAAGAAAAACGAAGGAATGCAGGTTGAATAGTGCAAAAACTTTATTTAACGAGGAAGTGTTAAAACTCAAATAGACCTCTCAAATCAAATCATCAGTAAAAAAAATCCCACTTGGCTACTTATGTGAGTATAATATTGGTGGACAAAATCATGGTTGACTTAGAAGAACTTTCTATTCAAACCCTAGGCCCTCCACAAACACACTTACACACCACTGTCTACACGACCATATCATACCCCTCCAAACATAAAAATAATTAAAATAAAAATAAAAATAAAATTTGGCCTGTGCAATATATGGCCACATTTCTTTTCAGGTCAAAGATTCAAAGAATGCTGCTGATTATGAGTAACCCCACAACTCAAAGTTGACTTCCAGTCTTCCACCATGCAAATAAAATTGTAAGGTAATTCCAAAAAACAAAATTATATAGTCTCACAATGCTAGTGTACAATTAAAGTGGAAAAAAAAAATAAAAAATCTGCGTTGTTTACAAAGTAGAGTATTAAAAACCGTGCTCTCACAATGAAACCTAAAGTTACTCCGTAATTATTAAGTGTCGTAATTGTATTTCGCAATAAAATACAAATGTATTGAAAAAAAAAAACGCAGTACAGTATATTGCAATATGTACTGATGTACATGCATGGATTATATGGTTGCTACGTTGGTACCTTAATAAAGTGTTGCACTTAGTTTTTGTAATAATCATATTGTTTTGATTAGAAACATTCGAGTCATAATCAGTTACAAAAGTAATGCATATGCCTTTCGAAGATATAACTAACTTAGCATGAAAAGATACCATTGTATAAGATTATAAGTTTCATGGTGGACCAAAGTTGACTTTAAGGACTAAAGCTAGCATGTACTATGTAGTGTTTCTTTTATGTCAAAATATGCTGCTGTAATGTCTCAAGAGGAAAGCAACCCTGGTTCTAGTATTCACTATTATCATGAGTTGGTATGGAAAAATTCGTCACCTTTTCTAAAAGAATGATTATATATGATTGAAGAAAGTGAGGGATACTTCAAGTGGTTAGGCTCCCCTCCCGATTTCAAGAGATATTGGGATCGATTCTCATCACCCGCCCTTGTAGCTCTCTAAACACCAAAAAAAATTTAAAAAAATAAAAAATTGTATATGATTGAATATTCTATAACGTACATATTACACCCTTATGAAGTTGTTTATTTTCTGGCTAGAAACTCGACCTTTGACCAAGTTTACTTCATATTAAATATTTGACAGAACAAAAAGTTGTACTTTAACTAAGCTTGTTCTGTTCTTTAGAGTTAAATGTGAAAATCGATAGATACTTGTATAACATAATTACAGTACATAAGTAATAACAGCACAAATATACAGCATCATTTCATTTACATCACTATACTTTTGTAATGATATTTACATACATAAGTGATTATATTTTTAAAATCATTGTAGTAAATATTACATAATTATAAACTAATCATGCACATATTCCTGGTCTTTGTTCTGTTTCAGACCCTGTTGAAGTATTACATTAAGCTTCAGAAAATAGAGTTGCAGAATTTAGTTGCTAATTTTTCCATAGCTCCTTGGAAATGGGACAACATCACGAATATCCGAGATTCCAGTCGCCAAAAGGACAATTAGATCAAAAGTGAGACTAAATCCAGCATGTTTGGCTGTCCCATTTCGACGAAGATCCAAGTACCATTCATATTGTTCACTTGACAGGCCTAGTTCCTTGATTCTGTTACATTTCATCAAGAAAAAACAACTCTTAGAAATTCTTCGTTTGCTCAAAGTTGTATGTATAATGTAGAGTGAAATTGAACAACCATTACCTTGTACTTAGCCCTTTAACACGTTCTTCATTCTGACTCCCTCTAATCACTGCTCCTACCTTAGGTACAATAACATCAAATGCGGCAACTGTCTTTCCATCATCGTTTAATCGAACATAGAAAGGCTTAACTTCCTTAGGATAATCATAAATGATTACTGGCTTTTTGAAGATTTCATCGGCCAGATAGCTTCATTGAGTCAGATCAAAAGATAAAGATGGTCAGATTTCTAGCTCAATTGCTATAATAACAGGAAACAAATTAAAGACAGCTAGAATTATAAGTACATTACCTTTCATGTTCTTCAGTAAGAGGAACACCCCATTCGACATTCATGTCGAACTTCTGCTCTTTAGCCTGTTTTAGAATATCAATGGCCTTACAGTAAGGAAGTTTCTCAAAGTTTGTCGATACCACGGATTGTAGACGGCCAACAATGCTTTGATCCACCCGTTTTAGGACAAACTTCATATCTTCATTACACTTTTCTAGCACCCATTTGCACAAGTGCTTCAAAAGATCAGTAGCACAGCCCATGGCTTCCTGCACAAAGAATGTAAATGCATTAACTATTACTCCTTGTTCAATGAAATATTGAAAATTGGAACAATTTAGAAGATTGTCAATGAATTGGGATACCTCTAGTTCAGCAAAAGCCATTTCAGCCTCGACCATCCACATCTCGGAAACATGCCTAGTGGAATGAGATGTTTGAGCCTTAAATCTTGGACCAAAGGAGTACACATTACCAAGGGCACAAGCATAACTTTCGAGATGAAGCCGCCCTGAAACTGTTAGGAAGGCTTGGCAGGAAAAGAAATCGTCTGTGAAGTCGAGTTTATCAGGCTTAACCAAAGCAGTAGCCTTTTCTTTCTCTTTTTTCTCCTTGGCTTCCAACTGCGAGGCAAGCTCGTTTGTTTTCTTAAGATCCTGAATCGCGGCAAGTAATGCTTCCCTATTACTATCTGTCCTCTTTAGCTCTTCCACTTGGTTACTCTTCTCCTTAAGAGAAGCCTTAATGGATTCAAGGCTAACACCACTAACTTGTTTGGTTACACTTGTTGGCTTATTGGATGGTTCTTCAGTTATTGTCTTACCAAGAAGTGTTGTAACATTGAATTTGTTACTCAAACCCTCAGAATCCGTGGTTGTGATTACCGGCACTTGCACGTAAAGGAAGCCATTGTTCTGAAAGAAGTTGTGTGTTGCGTGGGTAAGGGAATGTCGAATTCTTGTAATGGAAGCAACCTAGAAACAAAGAAATTGAGTAACATGATAAGAAGTAAGAACATATAGTAGCATAAGATGATGTAAATTGGAATCAATACTTTAAGTAAGAACATATAGTAGCATAAGATGATGTAAATTGGAATCAATTCTTTAAGTAAGAACATATAGTAGCATAAGATGATGCAAAATTGGAATCAATTCTTTAAGGAAGGAATTTTACTGTAGTTGTCCTAGGACGAAAGTGAGCCCAATCCCTTAAAGTGTGCAAAGGGAGCCTTTTCTTGGATAAGGGATACTTTTCATGATCTTCTACTACACCAAGATGTAACACCTTTTCGGCTTTAACCTCGATGCTATGCTTTCCGCCTGTCGAAGGCCGCTGTATAACACCTTCCACTAGAATACAAGTACCACTTAGCAATATTTGTCCAGGAGGAGCCAGAGTTGAGTCCACCACAACCTGAATTTTTTGTTGATTAATAATTTTTTTAAATACTCAAAAGTTACCTTTATATTCCATGTATCACTAATTTCTCGAAATCTTAAAATTGAATTTTACAATATAATCAATATAAATAAAAATTAATTACCAAAAGCAGTAAAACATTACATACCTGAAGACTGTCAATGCAAGAACCATCACTGATTTGCAAAAACACAGTGGACATAACAGGATGTTGTGCTCTGTATGTTAAGCCTCCGGCTGAATCTTTCTCGGCATGAGTACCAACCCCAAAGAGCTTCAAGAATGTACGAAAAATCGGCATCCGGTTCTGCAAAATTTCAGTACAAGTCACATCCTTCTGCCCGGCTTTCGCCCCCGGTTGAGGTTGAGCAGTATCAGGTTGAGGTAAAGGTGGTTGTTTCCTCACCTCTTTAGAAGACTTAACCCAACCTCCAATCACAATTCTTTCTCCAGACAATCCGATACCGCGATCTTCCCGGCTAAACAAGGTTTTCAACACTACCCTCTTAGAATACTTGGATGTTGGAATGTGGGTTTTAACAGGGGCTGCTTCTTGTTGTTGTTGGGGTGCCATTTTTGGTGCTTCGGTTGCCGCCGCGGCGGGTGCTTCTTCTTTAGGTGACATTATTGTGGGAAAACAGAGTATATGGGTGTTGATGATTAGTTGGATTGAAATGTTTGATTTTATGATGAAAGAAATGAAGGGTTTTTAATGAGATTGAAAAAATGCTTTGCTTGGGAAAGTTGTTGATGAAGGAATTGGTTAATTAGGAGTTAATTAATCATTTAATTGAAGGGTTTTATGTTAGGAAGGAGAATTAGTAGAAGAAGAAAAGGAATGTAGAAGTGTACAAGCTTCTTTAACAAAGAAGAGTAGAGAAAGGAAGGGAAGGATCAAAGTAAAGAGGGTTTTAGTATTTCTTTGGTTTTGGTTTTGGGTTTTCGCGGTTTGTACAAAGGGGGAAGTCAGGAGTTTGCATTCTCTTTTCCTCTTTTCTTACAATGGCTTTCCCAAAATAGCTTGTTCGGTAACAAATAGTTCAGACTTCGGGATCAACCTTAATAAATCAAACCGAACTTAACAACACCGAAATCAACCGAACCAAAACCAACTCGATCCAAAATCATCAGACCCAAAATTAACCTGATTAAACTCATTTTGAACTCGATTCGAATTTATCCAAACCGAATATAAACCGATTTGAAGTTGACCCGACCTAAACCCGAATTTAACCCGATCCGAAAGTGACCCGATCCGACCTGAGGCGGGTTAAAAGGGTAATTTTGAACCGAATATATACGACCCGAGTAGACCCGACTCGTCATAGATCAACCCAAACTCCATCTAGTTATCCGAATTGACACCTATATATGCACCCACATAAAAGTAGGTAAATTTAGGGGTGTGGAAGCAAAAAACTAAACTGACATTTTACCCCTTCTTCAATTGAAGCAGAAGCAAAAAACTAAACTGACATTTTACCTCTGGTTGCTCAATGTACTATTTGTTAAAGTAAAATGCTAAATACCGTCATAAGTACAATCAAATCACCATCATTTCAAGCAAAGAGACTTACTAAAACAATTTTTCTATTTTCTTTCTCTAACATTAGTCCATCCACCACAATCAAGTCAACCACCACCAATTACGACACGCGCCACTTCGATCACCACAATAATAATTTTTTTTTTTTTAATGTTTCCTCAGAAAAAACAAAAAAAAAACAACAATCTTAAGATTACTAATACTCCGTAATAACAATATCAAATAATTATAATTATTATCTAATTCAAATAAAAGCATAATAATAATAATAATAATAATAATTTTTTTAATGGTTTCCAAAAAAAATTAATTTTTTTTAACTATTCCAAAAAAAAAAAACTGGTGGCTAGTAACCGGAGGTTAAAACCGGTTGACCATCATCGGTAACCGACAAATCCGGTTAGCCGTGATGGACTGACCGTCGGTTACTTGTGACGAGAAACCGATTTTCACCTCCACTTACCAGCCATCGATTTTATAAAAAAAAACAAACGATTTTTTTTTAATGATTTCAAAAAAATAAAAATAAAAAAAACTGGTGGCTGGTAACCGGAGGTGAAAACCGATTGACCATCACCGGTAACCGGCGACCAAATCGAGTTGTCCATGACGGTCAATCGGTTTTGAACATCGGTTACCGGTGACGAGAAACCGATTTTCACCCCCGGTTACCAGCCACTGGTTTTATTTTTTTTAATAAAAACGATTTTTTTTTTATTATTTACAACCAAAAAAAAAAAAAAAACTGGTGGCTGGTAACTGGAGGTGAAAACCAGTTACCGGTGTAACCGGCGACCAAATCCGGTTGGCTATGACGGCCAATCGGTTTTGACCGCCGACTACCGGTGATGGGCAACCGGTTTTCACCTCCGGATACCAACCATCGATTTTATTAAAAAAAACGAGTCGGACCACCGCCTCTCTGGTTCTACGCTGTCGCCGCATGGTTCCACCCGTCGCCGCCAACTGCAGCCGGTAGCCACTACTTTGTTTTGTGGTAGTTGTGTTGAAAAAGGTTGGTGGTTGGGGTGTTTGATGAGAGAGAGGAAAAAAAAAAAAAAAAGAGAGAGAAAACATAGGTTAGGTTTAGTAAGGGTAATAATGACCCTTTGCTTAAAATAAAATAAAAGATTAAAAGTCTCATGCCAAGTACTCGTATGTGATTTCTTTTACTTATTATAGTAGGTAAACAAGTCATTATGTCCAACATCATCAAAGAATCTCAAAGTTTGGCCCAATCTAAGATAAACATTAGGTGGGACTGTTTGTAGCGGAACAACAATAGTTGGGACCATTTAATTCAATTTTTGCTTAGAACTAATTATTGACAACGCTTTTTCTCAAAAAAATTATTGACAACGCTTAATACTTTCATGTTACTTTTGCTTTAGTCACGAGTGTTTATCAGTAAAAATTCAACAAGACCTCAACATCTCTAATTTGCTATATAGACACAGCACATAACCCATCATTTTTATACAAACCAATGTACCCGTAACAAAAAGTTCAGTTAGTAGATGCATAACATCTTCAACCATTCCTAAAAACAACGTTACTAGCACCTATATAATTACGATAACAAACGCAACAATTTGAGTTGCTAATTGCAGTTTTTAAACACCTTGACTAGAAGATTAGTAAACATCATTAACTACTAAAGGAGAAAAAACTACGCTGTTTATCTGCAATATATCCCAAAGTCATCCTAGAAGACGGTTGATTGAACTACACCAAATGATTTTGCAAGGTAAGGTGAGGAGTACCAAAAGTGGCACATGAAAATCAAGATGTGCAATACTCTAGAGGGCAGATTAAACCAACTAACCAACCAAAAAATTACTGTGACTCCTGCTCGGCTTGAAGGAGCCATTCTCTTCCCAACTGCTCAATCCATAACTGCTTGCATAGATTTGCCAAACCTCCAATGAACATCAGCAAGCTCCCAACAACTCCAATCCACACATATGCACTGGTTTCCTGCACGAAGATCACAACTTAAACCTAACAAACATTGTATTTTTAACCTACATATTGTAAACCAGCATCTAATTTTTTTCCTATTTACGAACAAAAATTTTAAGCAATGCAATGACACACTACGGCAAACCGGAATAAGAGTACTATATATACCATGGTTGAAACTGAGAAGACGCCTAACAGGGAAAGAAGTGAGCCAAAAGCCTAAACTACAGAAATACCGAGCTCATAAAGGCTTCGTTTCTTGAACTTCGGACCACAATCAGCACCAGTGACCAGCAAAATGAATTTCCAAAGAGTCACCAGCAGCATCAAGATATAACCAACACAAAGGACCCTCATCCCAGCTTTCGGGTACGACGAATATTGGGCCAGAAAACCCCCTAATATTAGAGCAGGGCTCAACAAAAATAGCACCGCAGCATTTCTGATTAAACATCCTGCTCACATTAAACAGCAGGAACAATGTCACTACAGAACAAGTTGGTCTATAAATTTCTCAACAAAATCACTTTCTTAATTAAACAAACAATCGAATAAAACCCTAATTGATCAGTCGAATTGTCAATCCTAGGCATTTTCTCCATAATTAATCTCAATTTTTGCATAAGTTGCAACAAAGTTATATAAACTCTAAAAATTGAAGTTGAATTGAAAGCAAAAGCAAGCATCCTGAAAATTTCTGATGAAACTTGAAAAACTAGGGTTCTTTAAAGGCATTACTGATGAAATTGGAAGTTAAATTCAAGATTCTTGATGCAATTGGATGTAAATTTAACAATATATCAGTAATTTCTGATTGAAGTATAATTAAAATCCTAAAAATTATAGTCAAGTGTAAACGAAATAAAGCAAAATATGGAAATTACAATTAAGAGAGAGAAAGTTTACCTGAAGATTAATGAGTGAACTGAGAAGCTAATCCGAACTTTCGGAAGGGTGAAATTTGACAATTTTGGGTTTCAGAAGGATGAAATTATCTATGAGAAAAGGAGCAGTGATGGTGTAATTATAAGAAGAATTATATAGTTATAACCTGGGATGAGATAAAATTAAAAAAAAAAAAAAAAAAAAAAAAAAAAAAAAAAAAAACCTTATACCCTTATTTTGGTTTGGAGTAATAGGGAGACCCTCATTACGAGGGTAATAATTCCTTCATCTCTCATGCAAAACTACCTTATTTTATTTGTAAACACCTTGTTTCCTACAACAATACCTTTTTTTTTTTTGAATAGCAAAAATATTTCATTAATTAAAAGTCATACGACATCTACAATAGAGATTCGACGTTAACAAATACATAAGATATTGAATTAAAATAAAATTTTCCCTCATAAAAACTACGATCGTCGAGTAGATCTTGCATTGCGGAACATCTCCCGCTTATATCGCTAGAAAATACAGCCTTGTTGGAGAGACAATCTAACGATCCTATGTAGCCGTGAGGATGTTTTCCCTCTGATTCATATGTCTGTATTCGAAAACTTGATAACTTTTTCATCAACGAAATAATTTCACGACAATCCATTAGATCTAATATCATGGATCCAAAACTAAGAAATTCCTCTCCCAAAAAGAGGAGATAAACCTTGTCTTTCGAAGGAGGTCGAGAAACCCTTGTCTTTCGAAGGAGATCGGAAACCCTTTCTTTCGAGGGAGAAAAATTCCTCCCAAAAGGAGGAAGCATTATTATAAACCTAAAAAACTTTAAGGAAACAAAGATTTGGGCTTTCCACCGGTTAAAACCGATGGAAGCCCCTTCAAAATTCAACAATAGAGGCTAGGTTTTGGAGAGAGGAAGGAAGAAAGAGGAGAGAGATATAGCACAACAATACCTCTAATTACTTGTGTTTTTTCAAGTTTGATTTTTATTACCCCTTAATATATTACCCCCAATTTAAGTAAGGCCTTAGTTGAAAGTAAAAACGTTAAGCACAAAGGAGTGTGTTATTACTGCCAAATTTGTATTGGAAGTCTGAATAATGTTGCAGGTAACTAATGTCGATTATTTTAGGGCCTCCGCTACTCTGCATTACGCAACATCTCAACATTTAGGGGTTCGGCCCATTAAGGACTTTAGGGGCGTTGAATAACTAATTTGAGTTGGAAACACTAGAGTTGACAGTCTTGGACTCTTGGGCACGACAATACAATATAATTGAAACCAACACGAATATGAAAATGAATTAATGAAAAATAACTATAGTTAACACAAAGTTGTATATGTGGCTTGCAACACTGTGTGATCGGAGTTACTTAGTAACCCCTAATCGATCGAGTAATCCCTAACCGATCGAGTAACCCTTGATCAACTAAATAAACCCTAACCAAGTGGTCGAGGTTACTTATTCATGGGTTACTTGATCGGTCAGGGATTACCCTTAAATAAGTAACCATAACCATACGATGTGGTCAACCACATATGAATCTTTGTGATACTTGGATATAGTTGCAAAATTATTTATTGATTTTGGGAGAAAAAAGATAAAATTATTTTTTTCTTAACGTAAAAGTTATAAAATATTTTGGAGTAATATTTAACTTGAATGTACATATAATAAATGGTAAAAAAATAAATAAATAAATAAATGGTTATAGAATATTATAGTAAAGTAAATATTTTCCTAGGATGATTTGGCAGAAAAAAGAAGGAAAAATCTTTAACCAGAATTTGGCACGAGAGTTCCTAATAAATACTACCTCCATTTTTTTTATTAGTTAACACGTTTTGAGTTTAATACTATTCACGCACTTCTCTTTAACCATGTTTGTGATACATTTTCAAAATCACTATTAGAAATAGGCTTAATTCCGACAACTTTTTCCGACGGACAGCTATTCCTTCGAAAAAGTTGGAAATTCCGGCGGAATTTGTGGTTGTAGGAAACATCCGTCGGAAAGGATATTTTCCGACGGAAATATCCACCGGAATCATTCCGACGGATTTAAATTCCCTCGGAAATTACCTCTTTCGACGGAAAACTCCGTCGGAATGATTCCATCTGATTTAAATTCCCTTGGAAATAACCTTTTCCGACGGAATTTTCCGTCGGAAGATGTTATTTTCGAGGGAATTTTTTTCCGTCGCAAAGTTACAACAAATAAAAAAAAAACCGGGAATTTGAATTGTTTCAGGCAGAAACAAAACTACGAAACATAAACAGAGAGAAAGGGAAAAATAGGAAGAGACAGAAAGGGAGAAAGAGAAAGAGAGAAGGAGGACGCCTCCACCACCTGCCGCCACTTGGACGCCGCCGGTGCAGGTATGTCACGGTTTTTTTTGTTTCAATTTTGTTTTTTAAATGTTGTTGTAAACCCTAACCACCACCACCACCACCTAGGTTGTTACGGAATTCACCATTAGCCACCACAACCACGAACGCTTCACCGGAATTCACCATTATCGCCGCTGTTGGATAGTGGTAAGTGTTTACCCTTTTTTTTTTTTTTGGTTTTGGAATTGCTAGTGACAATGACGACCCCCATAGCCACGACACCAGCCGGCTGCCGGTTTGCAACCAAGGGGACGCCCAGCCACCGCCGCTAGCAGGTGGTGTTTCCTTCTTTTCTTTTTTTCTTTTTTTCATTATAACTTGTTACCATTTAATCATTTTTTCATATACATCCAATCACAAACTTAGTTACTAATTGGGTTAAATTGAATTTTTTGTAGGTTTTGTAGATTCACTTTGTTCTTTGGCAATAACAAGTGCAGATCTACAGGTTAGAGACTATATAAAACCTAAAATTATAAGTTTAGTTTATACTTGGCATGTTAGTCGGTAATTGTATTTAGATATATGTTGGTTTATTATTTTTTTTTAGTGTAGTGTATACAATTTGTTGTATTTATATTTTAATATGTTGAAATATTTGAAATGAATGTGTTTGTGTTATGATATGTTAGTTTAGTTTAGTTTATTTAAGTTTAATTTTTAATTATTGTATAACATAGTTTGGTTTAGTTCATTATAATAATGTATGCTAGTTTAGTTTAGTTTAGTTTATTTTAGATTATTTAGTTTAATATAGTGTATGTTAGTTAATTTAGTTTAATATTTTTGTTTGATATAATGTTTGATATAATATTTAATAATTGTGCTTATTTATTTGCTTATATTAGTTTAGTTTAATTATGATAAATCTCTGTTTAGTATAATGCATGTGACCTTCACTTTATATATATATATATATAATAAATGAATCATTTGCATAATCATTTGCCTAGATACCCGTTCAAGGCATACACAATAGGAGTATGCCTTGAATAGTCCCCGGTTGGGACAATCCTTGTACGCTTATTCTCACTTAGGTGGTGAATGTAGCCTTGCTTTTGATTCTAGGGTAAATCCTGCCTTTTCATTTCTCTACAGTGTTCTCTGAGTACATATGTAGGTGTGTTTAATTGCCTACATCGTGTACTTGGAGAACTGTAGGGAAATGCTTGCAGATTTTCCGTAGAATTGAAAACCTAGCTTACATTCACTAGTGGGATTAAACGTACAAGGATGGGTTAGGTTGGAGTGATAAGGACCCTTTGGAAGCATTTCATATCTCATTTGCATTTTCATAACACTTTGATGGATAATGATTAGGAAGTACGCTTTTTGACTAATGTGATTATACATATGCGTGAGTTGTGTGCAAGTTGTAATCATGAAACGAACATAACGTAGCTGGATGTATGAAAGGAAGGTTGGGCCATATGTTAATCCAGAGTTCGTGAAAGGGGTTGATGAATTCATGCAATACGTCAAAGATAATCCCGAGAGTAGTAACCCGAATGAAGTTAGGTGTCCATGTGCTAAATGTAAGAACAAACGGCTTTGGGAACCAGATACGGTTAAAATTCATTTGTTTCGCGCGGGTTTTGTACCTAATTACTATGAGTGGATGTGTCACGGGGAAGGGTTTCCGACAGTTCCTGCACGTGGGTCCAATGAATATTGTGAAATGGTTTTTGATGCGTTTGGTCAAAGTCGGGATCAAGGGCATTCCGAGCAGGCTAGTGTTTCATCAGAGGAGGAGCCTAATGCCCAAGCTAAGCATTTTCTGGATTTGTTGAAGGCTTCTGAAAGGCCATTATACGAAGGGAGTTTGTTTTCTGTGTTAGAGATGGCCGCTAGAATCACCAGTCTAAAATGCGAGTATAATCTTCCCCACAGATGTGTCGATGGGTATGTTTCACTTCTCAGTGAAGCAATTCCTAATAACAATCAAATGGTCGACACATTCTATGAGGTGAAAAAGATTGTGAAGGGCTTAGAACTGCCTCATGAAAGGATTCACGCTTGTCCAAAAGGATGTATGTTGTTTTGGAAAGATGATGCCCAGCTGTCTACATGTAGGGTGTGTGGCAGCGATCGATACAAGCAGACTTCCAAGGGTAGCCTAGTGCCTTTGAAAGTTTTGTTTTATTTCCCGATCACACCAAGGTTGCAAAGGCTGTTTACAACCAAGACTATTTCGGAGGAAATGACATGGCATTCGAAAAATCCTCGAGTGAAAGGCATTATGGCACACCCTAGTGATAGTGAAGCTTGGAAACACCTGGACAACTGCTTTCCAGAGTTTGCCTTCGAGCCTCGTAATGTTTGGCTTGGCTTGTGTACAGATGGTTTTGCTCCTCATGGCAAGTTTGGGGGACAATATTCTTGTTGGCCTGTCATTTTGACCCCTTACAACCTGCCTCCCTCAATGTGTATGAAAAGACAATTTATGTTCCTTTCGTTGCTCGTTCCTGGTCCTAAAAATCCTAAGGGCAACTTGGATGTGTACATGCAACCGTTGATTGAGGAGTTGAAACAGTTGTGGGAAGTTGGTGCGCATACGTACGATATTTCCATGAAACAAAATTTCAATCTTCGAGCAGCCATCCTATGGACCGTTAGTGACTTCCCGACTTATGGTATGTTGTCCGGTTGGGCCACATCTGGTAAGAAAGCTTGTCCATATTGCATGGACAAAAGCAAAGCATTTTGGCTAGAAAATGGTTGTAAGGTGTCTTGGTTTGATTGCCACCGCCAGTTCCTTTCGACGAATCACCCTTTTCGGAATAATAGAACTGCGTTTTGCAGAAACAAAGTCGAAAAGGGTGCACCTCCACACATTATGTCTGGAGAGGAGCTATGGGAATGTGTGAAAGACCTTCCGAAGGCTACAAATGGGCCCGAGTCACTTCGACGCCTCAAAAAAGAAAAGAAGGGGTGGTTCAAGCAAAGCATACTGTGGGAGTTTCCATATTGGAAGCATCTGCTTGTTTGTCACAACCTAGATGTCATGCACATTGAAAAGAACTTCTTTGATCAGTTAATTCACACTGTAATGGATATGAAAAAGCAGACGTGTGACACGTCATTCGCTCGAAATGACATTGCCAAATATTGTAAACGTCCGCAGCTTCATCTTCAGCAGGATGATAGGGGAAAAGAGTTCATGCCAATGGCTCCATTTTCTCTTGACAAGGCTCAGAGAAAAGTTTTGTGTGAGTGGGTTAAACAACTGCGGTTTCCTGATGGTTACGCCTTCAATTTGAGCAGATGCGTCGATTTGCAAGCATGTAAGCTCCACGGAATGAAAAGCCATGACTGTCACGTGTTCATGGAGAGGTTGTTTCCTACTGCTCTGAGGGAATTTCTCCCTTTCCATGTTTGGAATGCAATAACAGAGATCAGCCAATTCTTTCGCGATTTGTGTTGCTATACAACATCGGTTAGTGACATGGAGCGATTGGAGAATAACATAGCTGAGATACTGTGCAAGCTTGAGAAGGTTTTCCCCCTTGCATTCTTTAACTCCATGGAGCATTTACCCATTCATTTGCCATATGAGGGGAAGTTATGTGGTCTTGTTCAATATAGATGGATGTATTCGTTCGAAAGGTAAATCAAAGACCCATGCACATCCTATTTCTTACATCAAATTCAATGTCATGTCGTGTTTATATATTTACATAAATATGATTGCAAGTTCCTCAATAATTTGAAACGAAAAATTGGAAACAAGGCTCAAGTTGAAGGATCCATTTGCAATGCTTATCTCACCGAAGAGATAGCAAACTTCTGCAGTAACTACTTCTAGGCGACGGTTGACACTAAAACACGAGATCTCAGTCGAAATGTGAATGCCGACGTGGACTCCACAGTGGACGACGCTGATATTCCAGAGTTGTTCAAGGAGGATAGCGGTCGTGTGTCAACTGAGGGCAAAACTCGGTTTTTAGATGAAAAAGAACTTGATTGCGCTCATCTATTCGTGTTACGAGACACCGGCATTCTTGGTGAATACGAAAGGTATAACATAGTCTAGTAATGAAGTGTAGTTGGATGATATGATCATCTGAAATGATTACAATGTTGATTTACATTAATTTTGGCCTCGTAGGAAGTTTGAGGACTATGTCCTTAGTACTCGACCTTATCTGCGTAGAGAAGAAGTAATGGAGAAATGCAAAGCTGAATTCCCTGATTGGTTTCATCGCAAGGTGATTTCCACTGTCTAAACGTAGGATAATTATGATTTACTATTCGTTGCTATTTAATTTACTCATTTAGGGAAGTGTGACGGTTATATTCAAAACGTTTATAGGTTATTGAGGAGGAACAAAACTCGGATGTGCTGCGAGCGTTGTGCATGCGCCCTTTCAAGCATGTTCGAACTTGGAAGCAGATTTTTGTCGGTGGCTTTAATTTCCATACATATGCCAATGGCAAGTACAAATCTACGATGAGTTATGGCGTGTGTGTATCAAGTGAGGATGGTGGAGAGTACTACGACATTTTAGACGACATTATTGAACTGGTCTACACTGGTCCCGAAAAAGAGTACAAGACTATTTTGTTTAAGTGTAGTTGGATGGATTGTGGTAGGGGAATGAACATACATGAACAGTACAAGCTTGTCGAAGTAAATCATACTAAGAAATACCCCAATTATGATCCCTTTGTTTTGTCTTACCAAGTGACTCAAGTGTACTACGCATCATAACCTAGCCTGAAACGGGATCGAATACAATGGTGGGCTGTTTTTAAAACACAAGCAAGATCAGTGGTTAATGCTCCAGTGGACTTAGAGTTCTTGCAGGCACCATCCCCACAATTACATGCAACACTTTGCCCACCGAATGATATTCCAGACTATATCCAAGATGATGATGATGAGGAAGATCACGATGGCTTTGTTATCTCGAGTGATGAAGATGATGAATCTAGCATCAACTCTAGTGATAGTAATGAGGATGATGATATCGATGTATTATTAGATGATAGTAGTGATGATTCCAGTAGTGATAGTAGTAGTGATGACATTAATGAATAGGGGAATTTGTTACTCTCCTTCTTTGAATTTGCTTATTATTGTAAAATAGACAAATGAATTGGTCTTTTAATAAATCGATCATTACTTTTACGCTGAAATGTTATTACATTGCCCGAGTCCCTTGTAACTTATAATATGCGGTAATGTTATTATCAACAATTTCAGGTGATCATGGCGGGCGGTACAGACAAAGGTAAACGGAGAGTGCAGATCTACTTTTCCGATGAGGACATGAAGGATGCAGAATATTTGGGTAATACTCAGGAGCCGACTTCCAGCTCATCACGAGATCAGACACAGGAAGGTATTAGACCCTACTGTGCTCTGGTATGTACATACATTTTGTGAATTGGGATTATAATATTTTTTTAAGAAAAAAAAACTATTTATTACCTGTAACAAGTTTTTCAATACGTGTAGTTCATGATCATCTAACTTTGTGGTTTCCTCATTACATGTAGGTTTGACGACAAAAAGGTCAGGAATGCAGTATCCGGGGCGATAACCGGAATACTATCGAGAGCCTTGGAGGAATTACGGCGAGGTAGATGCAGCAACCAAGGAACATTGGTGAAACCTATTCTGCGTAAGCTATTACAAACTTAATTGAAAACATGTTTTTTAAAAATGTTGAGCTGAAGTTGAACATATGACATAACGATTATCAATTGCAGAAGGAATTCACGTGGGCACCTCAGTTGACCGAGGATGTGAAGCACACGTTTGAAAAGAAGCTTGCTACTCGGTTACGTGACATGTTCTACACAGTCACGCACAAGATGAGAGGCGCAAGGCCAGCCTGGCTCATTGAGGACGTCCACAAGAAGATGATGAATATTGTTACCACCGATCCAACTTTCAAGGCAAGGTCGTCCCAAAACAAGAAGAAGAGGAGGGGCGGATCAATGGAAAATCTGGTTGAAGCTACCCACTATCAGGGTTCGATGTCAACTGTACAACATGCTAAACGAATGGTAAGTTTGTGAATATGCCTGTAAAATTGGAGAGTCGGGTTTATTGGTTTGTACAGGTGCTCTAACATTTAAAGTTTATCATTTTCAGCATGTATAATCAAAGGCGGCGAAGAATAAAGGGCAGCTCCCAACAGCTCATGAGCTGTTTATGAAGACGCACTTCAAGGAAGTGCCTGGGAAAGGCACAGTACCAGCCAACACCAAAGCACAACATATTGCGGTATTAACTTCAATAACACCTACAACTGTTATATGCATGTTATAAGAAAGAACTGCTTCACTTGGTTGTTTTTGTGATTTGAAGGCATTTTCACCTAAAACTACCTATAATATGCATGTTATGAGAAAGAAATGGTCTATTAGGTCAGAAATCTAGAAAATAGGCAACGAATTGGTCATGTAGGGGTCTTTTGGTTGAATTTTGGTCCAAGTCGCTCCCAAAACTTAGAGACTTGGTTGTTTTTGTGATTTGAAGCCATGGGAACCTAAAACTACCTATAATATGCATGTTATGAGAAAGGAATGGTCTATTAGGTCAGAAATCTAGAAAATAGGCAACGAATTGGTCATGTAGGGGTCTTTAGGTTGAATTTTGGTCCAAGTCGCTCCCAAAACTTAGAGACTTGGTTGTTTTTGTGATTTGAAGGCATGTGCACCTAAAACTACCTATAATATGCATGTTATGAGAAATAAATGGTCTATTAGATCAGAAATCTAGAAAATAGGCAACGAATTGGTCATGTAGGGGTCTTTTGGTTGAATTTTGGTCCAAGTCGCTCCCCAAACTTAGAGACTTGGTTGTTTTTGTGATTTGAAGGCATGGGAACCTAAAACTACCTATAATATGCATGTTATGAGAAAGAAATGGTCCATTAGGTCAGAAATTTAGAAAATAGGCAAAGGATAGGTCATATAGGCCTCAATTGGTTCTATTTGGGTCAAAATCGTGCCTAAAGCTTAGGGAGTCGGTTTTTTTTTGTGATTTCAAGGCATATACATCTAAAACTACCTATAATAGACATGTTATGGCAAAGAAATTGTTCATTTGTTAAGAAATGTAGAAAATAGGCAAAGGATAGGTCATATTGGCCTCAATTGGTTCTATTTGGGTCAAAATCGTGCCTAAAACTTAGGGAGTCGGTTTTTTTTTGTGATTTCAAGGCATATACATCTAAAACTACCTATAATAGACATGTTATGACAAAGAAATGGTTCATTTGGTAAGAAATGTAGAAAATAGGCAAAGGATAGGTCATATTGGCCTCAATTGGTTCTATTTGGGTTTAAATCGTCCCTAAAACTTAGGGAGTCGGTTTTTTTTTGTGATTTCAAGGCATATACATCTAAAACTACCTATAATAGACATGTTATGAAAAAGAAATGGTTCATTTGGTAAGAAATGTAGAAAATAGGCAAAGGATAGGTCATATTGGCCTCAATTGGTTCTATTTGGGTTTAAATCGTCCCTAAACTTAGGGAGTCGGTTTTTTTTTGTGATTTCAAGGCATATACATCTAAAACTACCTATAATAGACGTGTTATGACAAAAAATGGTTCATTTGGTAAGAAATGTAGAAAATAGGCAAAGAATTTTGATTTTAACTTACATCTGTGTGCAACTTTTCATATGTCTATCTTGTAGGAGGCCTACCAGAAGAAATTTGAAGAAGCAAGCACCCAAGGGATTTAGAAGAGTCCAAATGAGTTGTACTGGGAAACTGCAGGTGGTCGAAACAAGAAGGGTCGTGTGAAGGGACTTGGCCAAGGTGCAGAACTGTATTACGGCAGCCGGAAGGGTTCCAAGTCTTCCCAGCAGTACGCGCCTTCCTTTCTTTCCCAGATGCAGGATTAGATGGACCAGAGGGTGGAGCAGAGGTTGGAGAAGAGGGTGCAAGCTATGCGGAGTGAAATGGAAGTCGAGATGGAGACTCGATTGGCCGAAATAGAAAGGAGAAACCAAGAGAGGTATGAAGAGATGCTGCGTCGATTCTCCAGCAACGATACGACTCATGTTCCAACATATATTCCACATCAGCGTCGAGACCCCACGAACGACCCTGGTAGTGGCGGTGCTGGGATATGTACTCCAACTGTAGCTTAGAATTTGTGTACATAATTGGACATGTATTTAGTTTTAAATTATGTTGTATAGTTGCACAAATTAAAATATATACATTATTGTTAATATATATATGAAAATATTTTCGTATTTAAATCGTCAATTCAAAATTAACACAAATTAGGTGCAGGATATACGTGAGCAAAATCGAATTAAATCATTTAATTTTTGCTTATTAAACAAGACTGTTTATGTTGTCGGAACTTATAATCTTCCGACGGATTTGTTTGTCGGAACCTATAAGTTTCCGACGAAATATTCTGTTGGCAGCGTATACGTTCCGACGAACAAATCCGTCGGAAGATTATAAGTTTCGACAACATATTCCGTCAGAAGTAATAATGTTTCGACGACAAATTACGTCTGAAGGTTAGAAATTCCGAGGGAATATTCCGTCGCAACTGTTTATCCTCCGACGAAATATTCCATCGGAAGCCTAAATTTTCCAACGGAATTTACTTCGTCGGAATATTGCGACAGACTCTCAATTTAAGTCAAAACCAGCTCCGACAGACGTAATTTCGTCGGAAAGTTCGTCGGAATATTGTCTTTCGACGGAATTTTCCTCGGAAAACGTTGATTTTCCTATAAGGGGCGTTGCGACAGACTTGTTCCAACGAAATTTCGTCGGAAAGCCCAATTCCGACGAATTTTTCAATATTTCCGACGGAAAAATTCCGTCGGAATTCAGCTGTTTTCTTGTATTGAATATCAACTTTTTATAATTTTTAATTATCGGCAGTTAAAGATATTAATGGTTGTATATTTGTGCATTGACAAACGTGACTAAAGAAATGTCAACTACTTATTAAAAAAATGGAGAAAATACAAGTATGCATAAAAAATCAGGAAACTAATGATTAAGTAATTATAGAGTACTATTTAAAAAAACAAAGAAATTATAGAGCACATTGTATACGAAGTATATAAGAATTCCTCAACCTCCTTGTTAGAGATTTGAGATAAAATCAATAATGGAAAAGTTATATGTGATATGATATATTTTTCATATTGATATTATTGGATATTATATATAAGAAGTATGTGGGATAATTTAGTGAATATATCTTTAGGATTATGAATTATGATAGTATATGTTTTAGAAAGATTGTTTTTTATCTTATGATTATAGATTTTGTATAAATACTCTTAATAATAATTGAGCCATACTATTAACTCGCCCCAAATTTGTCACTCCTATAAATTTATTATTACTTGTATTATCAAAGAAAAGCTTTTTCTCGTGAAAAAACTCTGAATATGACTCAACCTGGTTTATTGGACATTCCCGAAGATATCATAGTTCCCCATGTCCTCCTGAAACTTCCAGTTAGCTCACTCCTAGGTTTAAAGTGTGTGTCAAAATACTTTAAAAACCTAATATCAAGTTCAGAATTCATGGACCTTCATCTCCGTACCCTAATATTATCGTCCAATACTGAATTACTATATAGTCTCCGAACAACTCATCATCAAACTCCGTCATCCTCTTTATATCGTCTCTACTCTTTAGATCCAGCATCCTTACCATCTTGTTCACCCGTCCAAGTCCAACGACTCGAACTACGTTATCTTCTAACACTATGTGGACAAGTTTTACGTCGTAAAGTTTTTTCACATTGAGTAATGTTCTTTAAGAGATGACAAGAAAAAAAAAATCAGGCAGCAACATTTTAGGTCAAGTATTGTGGTTGCATATTGTGTCCGATAGAAAATAAATCAGGTAGCATTTCAACATTCACATTTTTTACCATATCCTATTTAAATTACCTAATATACTTAAAATTGATTATAGGGTTTCATTTCTAGATATTAAGGTGTTGTTTGGTTGGAAGATAATTTCCTTGGAAGAATTTCCTAGGAAATATGCTAAGGTGTGTTTGGTTGGAGGGAAATAAGCTAAACAT